ATGCCACAGTTGTAAAGTCATGAGGATCTGGAGAGACCACACACGTGTCTCTGAATAGCATCAGCTTTGGCTCTGTGCTGTAGAAGATAGCACGAACAAACCAATCCTGGTTTGGCTGAACATAACACGATAAAGCCCTCACCAAATTTGAAAAAGATGGTGAATCACAAAAGGCAAACTTGACAATAAAGCATCTAGATGGAGTTTCCTGGTATGGTGACCCTGTAACATATTCCTGTGTGCTTTGCAGTCAAGGATTCGCAAGAGAATTTGTGTTTCTGCTGGAGAAGGTACCAGAAATGGATCCTTCCACTGAGTTGGAATAGGTCATGTCTTGATGGGCTAGGATTTTAGAGCTGCGAAGTATGGCTGAAACCTTTTCCTGGATGTCTCTAGAAAGTCAAGTGAGCCAAGGGGTAGCAGGACTCAGCTGTATGGCTGAAACCTTTTCCTGAATGTCTCTAGAAACTGAGGTGAGCCAAAGGGTAGCAGGGCTCAGCTGTCCCTGCTGGGAGGATCCCGGGCCGCCTGAGATGGCCCAACCGCAGGTCCCAGATGAGGACATTGCTGAGTTGTCAGAAAGTCTGCAGAGCCATGCGAGAGAAGAGAGGTGAATTACTGACAAATCAATTACTCTTGATTCAGGTTCAGTTAGTAGCTCAGGGACTCAGAGGGAAACCACCAACTTGGAGAAGCAGAAAGTCTTGAAGGAAAAAAAACAATGAAGCATGGCAGATGAACACAGTGCCGGGTCTGTTTCAAGGATGAAGAATGACCCTTCCCCACCTGACTGTCACCTGGCCAGCAAAGGCTCGTTGCGAATCTCCTCGGTGTGGTGAGCATGCAAACGCCCAGCCCGTTAAATCCTGCTCCCTGTTGTATGTTGGGGTAAATACACCATTGCTTTACACGCTGCAGCTGTACGTAACCCACGTGCAGAGTCTCTTTGTTCTGGGCGCATTTAGCCACACACAAGGTGACCCGATGAGGGAGGGTTACCAGAGGGAAGCGGGGCAGGGAAGCATGTGAAATGGGGAAGGTTGATAATAATATAATTTAGAATAATGAACTTTCAGAAACATAATTTTGTCGTGGTGTTAATATAACATTTGGCTATGTCGTGGATGTTCCACAGCTTCCCAAGACTTGGCATGCAGAAAGCCATGGGGCAGCATCATCCGGTAACAATCTTTAAAAATATTTTTGAATTTTTTTTCATAAATAATTTTGGTAACGTCTTGGCATGTGACAATTTCAAGCCCATACGTTCCTACCAGCCTTCTTGTGCCACAGCGTCTGTAGGGTGTGTGAAGCGTGGCGTAGGGGTCGACCTCAGGCAGTCTTTAGAGGATGAAATTGTATTAACTTTCTTAATATATATTAGCTCAAGTTATAAACTGGAACGTAATGAGGTAGTGGAAATTTACTGGCGACTCCGGTATTGTTCATGCTTAGTTCAAACAAACTCAGGGACAGCATGGCCCTGGAAAGAAGGACTTTGCTTTGTGGAAGCTTAGAGCTATCCAAGAAGGATTCCCCTGGGCAGCCAAGATACCGCCAGCGTCCCAGCCCCTCTGGCACGTCTTTGAAACCTTCCCAGCATCATCTGGTGCCCTAGATCAGTAACTCCAGCGAGACTGACTCCAGGGACATCTGGATCCATGGGCAGGCAGCAAGAATGCTGCAGAAACAGAGCTGTTTTGCAAAGTTGTACTAGGATTAGTGATCGGTACTGTGAATGTGAGTGACTGGTCAAATCCTGTTGTACCTGGATGCTTGAAGGGTGTGAGAACCCAGAGTAAAACCACGTTCGAGGTGCCCCAGTTTGGCTGGGACACCTCATGCACGTGAATAAATATTTACCCTTGTAATTTTACGCGTTCCATCCCAGGCCTCCTCGGTCCGCACAGGCCGGTTAAGAATCTTATTAACATCACCCGCATGTATGTAGGCAAATAAGTAAGGTTTTCTGGAGAAGAAGAAATTTGATGTTAATAAACCATATGTAAGCACAGAGTAAACTGCGGCATGTATTAAATACGAGTATGCTTTGCAAATGCAAATGTCGGCCTTGCTGCTCTACTTGGAAATAGCAGCTGCATGGGGAGGAAATTACTTTCTCTTCCTTTGATGGTGTACCGTTAAAAGCTCGTTACTCCCTCCTGCAACGAACCCTGAGGTTACTCACGTTAGTACTGCGGGAAGAGTGTGAGCTTGCTGCGATAACGAACTGTTTCTTTGCCTGCGAGCCCTCCAGAGCTCAGGGGCATCGGCTGGCAGATGTTTGAAATGTGTTTTTTCCATAAATTGTGCAGCCAGAGGCCAGCTCATCCCCTTGATGTTTACACCAAGGGTGGTTTGGCTGCCAGCCCCTATGTTGGCAGCGTGCTGTCCCTGGGTAAGCTGTGGCATCCCCAGGCTCTCTGCCTGCTCCCGGCCTCTCCCGCTTCCCCCTTGCTTCTGCACTCGGATGCCCTCTGCCACTGAACTGCCAGGCTTCCCCCGCTCACCTCTCTTACCCAGCGTATAGTGCCTTTAGGAACAGAAGTCATTAAAAAGGAGGAATAATGAGAATACCTTACCTGGGTTTATAGGTGCTGGGTCTGTTTCTGGATCGGCTTTTAATGCAAAAATTAAAAAAAAAAAAAAAAAGGGGGGATTCAAAGGGGAAAAGGGGGGCTTTGTGCTTTTATGTAATCAATTAATAAATATACATTGTTTTCAGCTGAATGCATGAAGACTAGGAAATGTTAGTAGCAACAGTTCTGAGGAATAAAGTTGTCACGGGCAAAGGGCTTGTATTTTGAAAAGTGTAGGGGCTTGAATACTAAAGATGACATATTACTAACACTGATGGGAACAAGATTTAATTCTGTTTGTTCCTTTATGTAGGCAGATAGTCCCATGCTCAAATGCATGTTTGCACCTGAAGTTCCGTTTCCTGTATGTTGTCAACACACGTGTGTTTGTTCTACTGGGGCTGCCGAGTGACCTTCACCAATGGGTAGCTGACAGGACCAGACTTTAAAAGAAAATCTTCATCTGCTGTCTAAGCATCTGAGGCAGAATATTTTCAATTAATGAGCAGAACTTGCAGTTCAGATTTTTCAGAAGATAAATCATATTGTAGAAAAACTAAGGTTCAACCCCAATGCCACTGACTATGTCAGAAGGATTCCCACTGACTCAATTTCCAGTGGGGATGCATCTTTGAAAGTGCAGGGAGGCTGGCTTTCTGGGAATGAGATGACCTACAGCAAATCTGAATTTAGACTGGTGTAGAGTGTCTGCCCCAGCAGTTTACCCTTCCCTAATAATTTCATCAGTGCAGGTATTTCTCCCGTATCAATACTAAGAACATTTTCCATCCCTTGATTTCTATGGAAGCCAAAGGATTTATCCCCAAAGTTAGATTCTAGATCCATGAGATGATGAACACAGTGGAGACAGGGAGCCATGCCAAGACATTGTCAGATCGTGGCTTTGCTAGAGCACTGAGGGCGTAAACCAGAGTAACGCCGCATTACTTACCAGTGGTGATGCCTGCTGCTTCAGAAGTTGGAGGGACTGATAGAGCGGAGGAGTTTGTTACAGTGAGAAGAGAAAATAGGAGATTAAGCTTTGTACAAGTTTTAAATACATTGATGACTCACACGAAAAATAGTAAATGGCTCACCACAGTTCAAGAAAAGGCCAGAAATTAGTACCTGGTTTTTCAGCTGTCGTGAAGTCTGTTGGGACTGTCAAAGAGAAAGCAAAAGCTGCGCTTCAGTAGCTGTTCCATTACTGTGTGAGCAAAGGACTGATAAAGAGGAGGGAATCGGTAGCTTACTCCCAGGATCAAGCATTAGAGCGATTCTACTAAAGCCAAAGTTGTGCCTACCTGCTGCTTCAGGCGTCGTGTTTTCCGCAGGGGCTGATCCGAGACAGAAGACAAAACAGAATGGCGGGTTAGCTGGTGGCCGCCAGCAGGCTGCTGGCCCGCTGCGTGAACGGCTCTGGAAACCTGGGGGACATTGGCTAAACAGCGGTTTGGGGGCCGAGTAATAACGAGATAAAGTTTCGTTCCTAACACGCGGCGCCCGTTGCGGTGCTGTGACGGTGGCGAGGTCCCTGCGGCCGCCTCCCTCGGCCGGCACCGAACCTGTCTGCTCCCACAGGAAGCATGGCCAGCAGTGGGGACGCAGCTCTGGGGAGTGCAGGAAGGCTGGCTCGCTTGGAGTGAGGTGGCCGAGGGCTAATCTGAATTTATACTGGTGTAGTGTGCCTGCCCCAGTGGATTCCCCTTCCCTAGTGCTTTTGTCAGTACGAGTATTTCTCCTGGAGGGATACCAAGACCCTTTCCCTCTTTTGCTGTATATGGGAGCCAAGGGAGAGGGGACTGAGATGATTCCTGAAACTAGTGGTTAAATCCGTGAGATAATACTCGCTGTGGAGACAGGAGCAGGTCAATACATGATCAGAACCTGGGCAGACAACTAAGCGTGGAAGCCTGAGTAACGCTGTATTACTTACAACAGGTAACGTCTGCTGGTTCAGGAGTAGGAGAGACTGTTACTGAGAGAAAGAAAAGATGAAATTAAATACTGGCTGCATTTTAAATGTATATTTTTGCCATGAGACCCACAGCAGCAGCCTCGGCCGCTTGCAATATGACATGAAGCCATGTGAGGAAGCGGGGAGCACTTGGCTGCGTGGCTGAACGTAGCCCGAGCATCGCTGCGTGCGGCTGTGCGCACACACGACGCGGTGACACAGCCGGCGCGACCGTGCGCGTCGCCTCTGGGAAACCCTGCAGCCAGACCCTCAGCTTGGGCAGGGAAACAAATGATGGAGCTGCACGGGGCGTTGTCTTGCCAGGAGAGCAGGTAGGCTGCTAAACCCTGAGCTGAGACTGAAGCGGTGAGCGCCAGAGAGTTTGATTCCTCGACGCGGTCCGGGAGTGCCGCGTGAGCGGGGGATCCTGCTGCCCTGCGTGGTCTGACAGACACCACCTCTGCTCACTGCCGGTTGGTAAGTGACCAGAAACCAATACCTGGGGTTTCAGCCGTCGTGGTCTCGGTCAGGACTGGAAAAGAGAAAATAAAAGCCACACCTTAGTAATTTCTCCAATACTGAGCAAGCAAAGCATAGATTGACAAAGCAAAGCAACGTTACCATTTAGGTGTAATTAGGCCTGGTATATCGAGATCCCCAATCCAGCTACATTACAGGAGTTTACCCCATAATTTGGCTTTTGTGTGTGCCAGCTTGTGGGATTCCCACTGCCCTTGATGGTGGATGGAAACCAAGTGCATGGCCGTGTGTATCTCCACAGAGGCAGAATCGGTCAGTGCGGCAGGACACCTCTGTCCACAGATCCCACCAGGCATTCACGTTCATCTGAGCGCCTGGAGTTCGCCTCCGAGAGCACACAGATTTCATCTCAGCACTGCTACAGTCCAGAGGAATCAGCACTCTGCTGCGGGGTAAGTTGTGTTGGACTAAACCTGCGATAAGTGAACCAACACCGAAGTACTCCGTACCTGTTGCTTCAGGTGTGGTAGGCTCCGGAGGGACTGTCAGGAGAAAAAATAAAACCATCAGAAGAAGGAAAGCCAGATCAATGCTTTCAGTTACAAGTTGAGACAAGCAGCAGCTTGTCAGGGCTCTCCCCAAAACCATGACTGAGGTGAGGCTTTCTGAAGCCTTGGAGAAGGCTGCGGGTGCTTCTGCCTAGCAGCTGGTGTTTCTGCCGTGCCATTTTCACTGCCAGCCCTCGCAGTGAGTACATCTGTCGGTGGCGGGGCAGAGAATCGAACCTGATGGGAAGAGGTACGGTTTCTGTCCTGCCTCCTCACCCAGGCTGAAATCCAGTATGAACTGCTGTTGGCAGTGAAGTAGCTCCACCGCTGCAAGATCTGCCAGAGCCTGGCAGATGAGCTGTCCGTAACTCTTTTTTAAATTAAATAAATTACATGCAGTTTGGGAAGTTTTAGTTGGGAAACAAATATTTTGTTCTGTATTAAATGTTTAAGTAAGTGTGGCTCGTGCGGCGGTACAGCCTCCTGATATATCGGAGCAGAAGTGGTTTGCGGTGCGTGGACCCTCGTGGATCGCGCAGGGCTGAGCGGATTAGGAATGCAGGCTGATAGTCTGAATATGATTTCTCCTGAAATGCCTCTCCTGGGGCTTGCAGCTGAGGCACAGTACAGCAAAAATTCATTGCAATTGTTTCACAGATATTCATTGTAATCATTGTAATCATTTGTCAGTAGCCATCAACCAAGAACAGTGCATGGTACCAGAGAAAGGGGAGAGGAGGAGAAGAAATAACAAAAATAAAATCAAAGTGAAAACGTGGACCTCTTCAGAGGGGTAGCAGAAGCCTTATTCACTTCTTCAGCAATATGTAAGTCTCACGGCTATTGTTATTCATGATATCCTTATAGTACAACATTGCAACACAGGACAAGCGATGCTTCCCTACAGGATCTCACTTTCTTTTGGACAGAAACAGCAGAGTCCACAAAGATGCAGTGGCTGGTGTCTAGGATCAGACACACCACACTCATCTAGTGCCAGAACTTTCATCAAAGCAATTTCCTTCTGCATCCTCAACTGGCAGGATTTTTCTTCATTTTTCTCGATAAGCTTCACGTAAATTTGATGCAGATCTTTGAAAATTAGTACAAATCATAAAACGAAGAAAATGTGTTTATAAAACTGCAAGTCTGACAGAAGTACTTTGAGGCTCGTAGGCAAATAGTCTTTGTCCCGAAAGCAGATTCCAGGTTGGTCTGCCAAAACCTACTGGTGGTCCCCTCTGGAAGAAAATTCCCGTAGCCCCGCTCGTCCCTCTCCGCTTCCCACAGGCTCTTCCCTCTCCGCTTCCCACAGACCCAGGCAGAGGAATCCCTTGTTGGAAGGATGAGATAGCCCCAGGATGTATGGACCCCATGGAGGCTGGTCCTGCCTGTGACCAGGGTGCCCTGGCCATCCTTCTTGGCTCTCATCGGCCTCCCTCTCCCTGCATGGCCACTGCCAAGGGTCCTTGTTCCTATGGTGGCTCCAGCCTTCTGCCAAGCTCCTCCTTTCACCCATACCAGCTTGCATGCACGGCTTAGGAAACTTAATTCACGTTAATGAAAATGGAAAAGGTGAGTACCTTGACAGATAACACCGGCATCTTCCTTGTGGTAGCAGTCATGTATGCCCAGCCCACTGTGAGAGCACTGTTCCAGGGAGGACTCGTTCCCTGTGCACGCCACGTTGTCCAGGAGAATATCTCCTGTGCCTTCCCCAAAAAAGGCATCGATTTTGGCTGAGACAGCATCTCCGCAGCCCAGCTGCCTGCACACAACCGTGGCATCCTTTATGTCCCAGCCATCGTCGCAGACGGTTGCCCAGCTCCCGTCGTGAAAGACTTCGAGGCGTCCCGAGCACATGTCTCCATTCACCAGTCTCAGGGACATGTCTTGGGAAAGCAGAGGGAAACGCGTGGGCACTCAGCAGCCTCAGAAAGGGGCTTTCTGCGTGCATTTATCAAACAGCAAATCCAACTTTGCTGTGTTGCACAGAGAGTGGCAAAACCATGAAATTAGTCTTGCTGTAACAAGCCACGTTGTGTCAGCTCATCGGCTATCATAAATATTTACTCTCATAGTGTGCAATATACACCTGGGAGTAAATATAAAGTTTTTTTTCTTTTTCAGGATCTTATGTGTATGTCCATAGCTAACAGAACCATTCTTATTGATACCACTACTCTTTAACAGCAAACCTCTTAAATAAGCCTGAAGTATCTCAGAAACTCACGCTACACACATTTACTTGCTTTGAAATTTTTACATATGAAATTTTTGCCTTCCTACCACTGCTGAAGTTACTATATAAAATAGATCAGCTGTGGAAGCTTTGCAAGACTCATGCAGGGAGAACTCACCAGCTGGAATGGGCTCCGTTGTGACCGGGGGAGTAACTGGCTCTAGGAACAGAAACAGAAAAGTGAATTTCTAGTTTTACTACAGAGGATGCTTAACAATGTTCTTCAGTTACTCTGTGAAAAAAGAGAAAGCAATAGTGATGTAGAGCAACCCGTTCAGCTCTGGAAGCATCATCACCAAAAGGGAGAAGGCTGCAAATCCTTTTCTAACCTTCAGGTGTTAATGGTTGCAGTTGCCTTGCAGGTGTAATCTTTAATAGTTTTAGGTGTGGAATTCTCACCAAAGAGACACATGTCTGCTTGGGTCATGTGTTTAACTCCACTGGAGGTCTTTCCTAAAAAACCTAACTCTATTAAAAATCTGCTTTGATTTTTCCCCAGGGAAAGATGTCCCCAGGATAAAGCTGTAGACCAGAGTTCTTTGTGCCAGGTCTCATCCACAACCGCTTGCAGCCAGTTACATTTCACCTGGTCATTTAAAGCTGGTAAGAGCACCCGCCACGCGGATGAGCTTTGGTCGTGGACCACCACTTGCCGTGGCACTGGCTGCACAGAGGCTGCAGTGCCTCGGGCTCTCCAGTTGCACACGTGCTCCCAGTCAGAAGTGCTGGAATACTGGGAAATGATTTGGAAAACTACTGAAGGAAGTTACTAAATAGAACTTCCTACTAAATGCAAGCAAAGGAAATTTGATTTACTAGTCACAGTTCATAATTTACGGGAAATCAGGACTTGGAGGACTGAAGTATAATAGTGATCATGTAAAATTACAGTTCAAATAGTAACGCAGTCAGGTAATAGAGTAGGAAATGGCATCAGATAGGACTAATAATGATATTCCAGGTAGCCAAAGGATTCAAGAATTAAAGTGAAAAATTAAAGCACAAACCTGTGTGAACAAATGACAGGAGTTAACAAAAAGAAAAAAAGTGGTAAAACACAGCAATTCTCACTGGTCTTGGCTTCATGCCTGAAACAATTCCACTGATGGAAACAAGCTGTGCATCAAAGTCTTGACTGCGAGGCTGCTTGCGTTTCTCCTGAAGCAGCGGCTCGGGAGAGAGGTGCTAGCGTACCTGCGCAAATGACGCTGGCGTCCTCTTTATGTTGGCAGTTGTGGACGGCGATCCCTCTGTGGGAGCACTCCCACAGGTTCTCTTCATCCCCCTGGCACTGCACATCGTCGAGGAGGATGTTCCCAGTGCCAGGACCAAACCGGGCTTCGGACAGAGCCATCAGAGCTTCCCCGCATCCCAGGCTCCTGCACACCACCTCGGCGTCCACTAGGTCCCAGAAATCGTCGCAGACTGTTCCCCAGCTGCCGTCGTGATAGAGTTCGACGCGGCCCGAGCACTTGCCATTGCCATCCGCCAGTCGCAGGGACAGGGCAGGGGTATCTGTTGCGGAGAAAGAGCCCGCGTCATGATGAACATGAATATCCAGAGTCAACCTTTTCCTGGGATACCTTGCAATCTAAGGGCAACGGTTGGGGTCTTTTGGGTTTTTTTGTCTTTTTTTTCCCACCTTTAAATAATGCCTGATTCAGCTTCTTTTCCCATCCCTGCTAACCCTCTGGCATAACAGATGGTTGGCACAGCATTGTTTCCCCAGAATAGTGGCAGAGCTCTTTCTACAGCCCTGGCTCCTTTCTGAGAGCTCGGTACTTATAGAACACTCCACACATTTATCTCAATTTCAGAGGGAAAGGCTTTTGGAGATCTGAAGTTCCAAATTAGTTTTATGGGCCTGGAGTGTATTTTTCTCTCAGAGAAAGAAATGAGATACTGCTGACAATATAATTGAGTTCCTCCTAGTTTGTGGCCATCATAAACTGCACCGAGTATACAAACCTGTCTAACTCCTTGGTGTGTCGGCGATTACGAGGTTTTCATTTCAGGACATTTTGCTATCACCTGGCAGCCCTTTGTAACCACCTAATGCACATCCATTCTGAATGAGGGCCATGGTTCCCAGGACTCTCTTTCCCCTTAGTTCCCTTTTGCTGACCATGATCAAAGCTCCTTCCATCCGAATACCACGCTCATCATTCACTTCTTCAAAAGTCAGCTGTAATGAAAAGCCAGCAGCAACGTGCTTGGCTCACTTTCCAAGATCTAGGTCTAAACTTCTACAAGATTGCCAAATATGATATTAGGGAGGAAAATATATAATTGAGACAAAAGGTCATTAACCTGTTGATCTGCGCATTGAGTATTCACCAATGGTGAAAGGTGTTAAATAAAAAGTTTAAGAACTGGACGACTTTAACTATCTATATCTAGGTAAGAATAGTGAGAAAGAGGCAGATTAAAAATTCCAGATCCACATCTGAGCTTAAATTACAGGCAGAAAGAAATTTGTTGTGATTCAGCTGATCTTAAAAATGGCTTTGTTGGAAGGGAGGCATTGAGGGAGGTATTTAATTGATCTGAAATATTCACATCAATCTGAAATTTTGGGGGGCACTTTCTCAGGAAGTAAAGGACTGATTAAGTAACAGTCCTAAGAATCTTTAATGTATTCTTCTGTGAACGTCTGCAGACAGCTGAGAGGCAATGTTTTACTATCAGCAAATTGATAAAAGAAAATAATAGATATCTGTATCTCTTCAAAGTCAATGCTTTGTGCTTAGTTAAGTGTAGAATATAATCAAAGGAATCAGTGAGCACTTAGTTTTCCTGAGACTTTAACAGAAACGACCGTTTACCTGCAGTAAGTACAAATGAAAGTGATAAGATTATTAGTTAGATCTGTAGAGAAGCCTTTTTTTCCCTTTAACCATTGACCAGCATCCCTGTTACACACAGTACGCATAAATAAGATGAAATAATTTGCTCAAATACTTGGTTGAGCAGACACAGACAAAGCACTTAATAGTTGCAAGAGCCTAGTTCTGTAGTAATTCTTAGGAGACCCTATATACACCATGTATTAGGTTCCTTAAACCTGCATGATAGTCAGTAGATCACTTTTTTCAGAAATTCACGTTCAACTTCTGAAAACCAAGCAAATCAAAGTAAATCTTGAGGCACCACATTCATTTCTCAGTTTGACCGGTGGGTGCAAAGAAGTGCAAACTTCTTTCATTCAGCTGGAATAGAGCCCAGTCTGAATAAGTCAGGCAAGTAGCAAGATCTGATCAAAGCTCTGTAAGATATTCGTCAAAGCAGGAAAGTTTTCATTTTTATCATTTTGAAAGTGAAATGACTCCAGGAAAAAAGGTTGAAATTGCTTTGCTGTGCTGAAGACTTGTCTGTTAATTTCTAAGACAACATTTGCAGAGATTAGAGTGGATGGATCCTAGTTCTTGAACATGAAAATATTGTTTGAAATAAGATTAATGGGTGGAGCAGCAAGCAAATCTGTATTGAACTTTCTAGTGCTGCTACCACCGGCATGGAGTCACAGCTCTGAACTTCTGACAGCATAGTCAGGGCTGCAGAAGAAGAGCAGTGTTAAAAAAACGTTGTAAAGAGAGGAGTTATCAGTTGCCTTGGTAATTGTTGATCATGTTATGCAACATCTTAGAGGAACAGATGGTTTGGGTGTTAAACAGGCAGCCACAGCTACCGTACTGTGAGGAGATCCTCAGCCCTTGCCACTGAAACCAGAACAGCACAGATAGAATGGCAGCAGGAAAGGCAAGATCTGTGCCCTCTCTGGAGGACAAGATGAGAATTCAAAATGATCTGGATTCAACTGAGTAAAAGTCAAAAATCAGCAAGCTGAAGTTCAAAAAGGACAGGTGGAATGGGCTGCTCACTGGAACGAGAAAACCAATACACAAAGGCAAAGTCATCCTTACAGCTGGCACAGAAGGACCACAGAAAAACTGGAAGTTGGTAATCTTAACGCTACAGTGAGCTAGTCCAGTTTCAGCCTTGCTCTCAGAGTGGTACATGGGAGCTACTTATCCTCCTTGGTGCTAAAGAAACCTCAGCTGCTCAGTCGGTGATTGCGCCTTTAAGAAAGATAGAGATAATGGGGAGAGCTTGGATGAATGAATCAAGAATATAATAGGCTTGAAAATCATGAGCTCTGAGGAAAGCTTTAAAGAGATGAATTTAGTTTATGCGGGAAGTGTCTTGCACTATTCTGAAAAGGGCTCTAAAGAGGATGGCCACCAGTTCTTCTGCTCCCCAGAGTCTTCAGAGAGCTAAAAGAGCAACTCTGGACACTACAGAAAATGTCCATCGATAGAAGAGCTTTGAATACAGCGTCCAATTCATTTTATTTGTGTGTCTGGAAAATAGCTGTCAAGTTCAGAGGCAAAGTACACATGGTCATCTCCCCCAGTGCAGGTTTGCATAGGAGTTTAAAGCCTGCTGGTGCTATCAATTTCTGCTTTGTCAGAAGAGTAGGTAGGACAGCATGTGGTGGAGAGGAAGCTCAAGTAGTGGCTGATGCAAAATGGCCTCATCTGGTGAAATTCTGGTTTTAAGATTTTTTAATACCCAAGAAATTATTTCATAGATTCATTAAAACAGCTCATTCATTAAAAACCTGCTAAGTGTCTTATGGAATAGATGCCAGAATAACAGTAGCCCCAACAAAGAGAATGGGGAAAAGGTGGGACACATGCACACATGCTGCAGCATGATCAGCGCTGAAGAAGGCCTGGACCCAAGCTCTGTAGGAGTTAATTTACCCTCCCTAATGGGGACCACGAAGTGGTGCTAAGGAGGAATATATGAATGGGACCAGCATATGAAGTACGTCCAGGATTGTCTCTGGTTTGCATCTCAGGGACTTTCTGAGCCCCAATCAGCGCCTTGTGTGGTGATGCAGGACCGGGACATTCTTGCTCACAAACAACGCACGGCACGCAGGTTGTGTCTGACTGTTCCTTACCTTCACTCGGCGATGCTGGAGCTGTTAATGGCTCAGTGCTGTCTGTGCCTGGGGCAGGTGCGATCAAGTCAGAATAAGATGTTGAATCTTTGGGGAAGAAAACAATAGGAACAATGCACAATAATGACCAAACATGAATATGAACCAGAATTAATTTTTTTGGTTAAAATGATCTGGATTTGTCATTTTGCTAGATAAGTGTGAAAATACAGGAAGCTTTGTTTCAGAGAACAAACATGGACTTATTCCTTGTACTTCTACCTGAGTCTCCATCACCACATAATACCATGACAAACAAATATTTAAAATTGAGATTTTTAAGATTCCTAGCTACTGGAGAATGAAGCAATGTGTTCTTAGCCCTCTATATTAAAACTTCATTATTAAACTTCATTGCATACATTTTCCATACAGTATAGCTTTCCCTTAGCTCACATAGACTCAGAATGGATTTTGCAATATAACTTTGTCTTTGTAAGCTGTGCTTAGGATTCCTGGTGTAGATACTGCCTCAGTCTCTTCATTGAAGTGGATGCAAAGGAGGAATACAGGAGTACTGAAGGGACTGTGAGAGGGCTGAGGAAATACATTATTGGAGAGAAACATCAATGTCCTTGATGAGAGAGTCTGACATGGAGGATTGGGAAAGTATAGAAAACCAGAATCTGTCCTGTGTCAGGGGGTGGCATCTCTGTCTTTAGGACTGGGAAAGAAATGTCAAAGATTATTGAATCTTTAAGGTGAAGATGTCCTAGTCTGATTTAATCACTGATGCTCTCCCCTTCCCGGACAGAAGCACTGAAATTTGGGCACTTTTGCTGATACCTAAATTATACAAATAGCTCAAGCAGCTTAAAGCTCCAAATTGTGCATTATTGCACATCTCCCAAACTTTGATAGCCAGTATTGTAGAAATGAAAGGTTTAGAAGCTGAATTCTTTCTTCACTGCGGTGATTAATTAGCAGTTGACTGATCTTAAACATTTTACAGTTATTGTAAACCTACCAGTGTAGGACTGAGCAACCTGGTCTAGTGGAAGGTGTCCCTGCCCATGGCAGGGGGTTTGGAACAAGATAGTCTTTAGCGTCCCTTCCAACCCAAACCATTCTATGACTCTGTGATTGTATGAATCTATTTTGAACTTAAACGTTATTGTTAATAGATTTTACGGGATAGTGTCTGTTCTCACCTGCAAGAGCTATGGGAGGAATTTCTGGAGCTGAGGTACCATCATCTCCTGTAAGTGTGGTGGGTGGAATAGGTGCTTCTGCAAAAAAGTTTCAGACTTCTTTCAACGGGAGTGAGAAAAGCAAAGGAGTGTGAGAAGCAAAAATAGAAAATGAGTGTTTTAACTTGGCAGTAACATTTATTGGTATAGGTTTCCCAACGCTGCATCATGCATGTTTGGTCAACTTTATTGAGAAGTTTAAACAGTGAAAAATACAAAGGGCGTTCTTGTTCTATAGAGGGAGATGTTTATTACAGCTATTCCTGGCTTATCCGACCGAAAGTCTTTCTCCCAGAGGTGCAGTAGACATAGGAGAAGGGAGAGAGAGGCCGTCAGGACTGACGCTGAAGTGCAGCATCTGTTTTTCCTGTGATTCTCAGCCAGATCTCCTTGCCCTGCAGAGCATCACCATTAGCAGGTGGGACCCGTGCCAAAGAGGGGAGGGAGGCTGGAGGGAGAGCCAGCTTCTCCGCCCCCAGCTCGCTGGGCAAAGCCTGCAGCATCCTGGGCCACAGGTTGGGAGAGGCTGAGTCTGAGCTGAGGAATCCTCAGGAGTGAGCACAGGGCCTGCTGGGCTGGCTTGGTAAGAAAGCCCAAGCCTGGAAGATTTTAAATTGATTAGAATCCAGATAGGTAATGTTAAAAATGGTGAGAAACATAGACTGACTGGCTTTTTCCTGGGTCATGCTTCTTAAAGAAATAAAAATAAAAGTAATGATTTCCTTTAGATGCTGTGGTTCAAATTCTGCACCATTCAGCTTCTCTTGTGGTGGGCACTGCCTCTAGCAGATGAAGTTCATAGACAAACATCAGCTTAGCTGAGAGGTGGAGAATTTGCAACATTTCTTGGCATCTCCACTGACGCCCCTTCCTAACCAAAACTTCTAACCACGTTTTTTGAACAGGCTGCATGTTGTGTAAATGCCCTTTTCTTGTCTGCGGCATAGTCAGGATTTCTGATATCTTGCTTTCCTCTGTGATGGCAGTGGAAGAAAGGGAGTCGTATGTGCTATCAGAGGGGGCTGCAAGGATGAGAAATTAAACAGTTGCAAGTAGCAATTGAAAGCACAAGTGTGATTTAAGGAGTTAGCGACTTGCTTTAAGTCTCAAGCTTGGTAAAAGGTTGAGTTTACAGTCTGCTAAATAACTGGAGAGGCAGAGGTCCAACTGAGGGAGAGGAGCACAAATGCCTGGCTGTACTCCTTAATGTTTCTGGAGTTTTTATGAATCTTGGACACACAAAATCACAGTGATCTGGATACTATTGCTTTACAAAGTTTTAAGTGTAGTATAGCTACAAGCTCAGAGGTATTAGTCATTAAATGCATATATTCCTGATATGTCCTGACAGCCTAATATTTTTAAAGTGAAGCTGTTGTGAAGAGGTTGTTCCTTCACAGAGATGTTTAATTTATAGTTGTCTGATCTGAATATTTTACGGATTTACATGGTCACATCTTAATTCAGCTGAAAAACCAAAATGAACAGAATATTTGTTTTAAGTAGCACTTGCAAAATGGCTGCTCTTACCTTCATAAAATGTGTTTGGAGTCTTGGGATCTGATGTGACAATTTCCTCCGGGAGAATAGTGGACACAGAAGACTTGACTGAGGCCAAGAGAAAGTCAAGGAAATGCAGAGAAGAAGAGAGATTGGCAGCAGTTAGGACTGAACATGTGAACTGAAATCTTAATGAAATTAAGTACATTTGGGCTTTTCAGGACAGTGAGTCAATGCATAGCCTTTTATTTTTGCTGAAAAAAAGGCATTCACCTTGATTTAATATTTAATCATTAAGACAGTCGATACTTGTATTGTTTCTGACTGCGTTCTTTTACCACTAGAGATGCAATAGTCATATGGAAAGATGCAAAGAGGCCGTTGTTAGGGGAAATAAGAATGGCATTTTTCTTGTGCGTTGGAAGTGACTTTCAGTGTGTGAGCAAGCCTCACCTTCTGCAAGGTTTTCCAAGGTCACTGGAGCAGACGGTATCTCAGTTCCTGCTGGGCTTGAGCTGGGTGCAGGGGAGGAACCTGTGGAGGTGGCCAGGGGGTGGGGAAAGAAGTTATTAAACAGAAACACCACCAAGTAAAAGAAAAGACATTTCAAGGATCTGTGAAATCATTTCAGGGAAAAGAAAGTCACTTCCCTGGACCTTAACTTTCTGTAAAGTGGCTCAGAAGAACACCTTCCAAATAGTAAGTGGACTTCATAGTAATTATAAGCGAACTTGGGAGACTGATGCAACCGGTGCACATCTCAGCGGGGTATAAACACACCTTGCTTCCATTCTACCTTTGCACTAACTTAAGAACCAGGATAAATTAAGCAAGATTGTTGAAAGGATTCAAGGTGAAGAAAATATCCAGGTAAGAGTGCCTCAGATGAACCAACTGTATAGATCTCACCGTACCTACATGCAGTCTTGGTAACTGTATATGCGGGTAGACTTAATCACATGCCCATTTTCCCTCCAACCACATTTTCCTATGGAAATGAAGATGGTGTTGGCCATTGGCTCTTCCAAGTCTAATTACATGCAGAGTTCTTACTTTTTTTTTTTTACTGAATCCCTAGTGTTCCTCCTGTCTGCTCGAAACAAATTACATATATCACCCAAAATTTCCACACATGACATTTGCAGTTTGCTTTTTTCCCTTGCCTGTGACAGCGGAAGTCGAGGGTTCTGTGGCAGATGTCACAACAAAGCTGTCTGTGGAAATTATTGATGCAGAAGGGGAAGTTGGGGGCTCCTCTGAGGATGCTGGAAGTTAGAGGAGATAAACTGTTAGAGAACTGTAAGAGTGGTCATGAGAACTGAGACACTGGTGGAATAATTTAAACATCAGTTGTGCAGCACTGGGTTAATGCACCAGACCTTAACTTCTGGTAGTGGAAGTGAGATTTCTGTTGATTAACAGCAGTTCCAAATCAACTTCAGAGACATTTGCCAGTGTGGCCATCAGTGGAGAAATACACGTGCGGAATACGCAGCAACAATTCAGGGCTACTACAGTGTGGTTTTGCAGGTTCCAGTCTTGAGGAAAAAGGATTCTGGGAACCATTCTTTCACTTCTGGGCTATATATGATCAAAACCTGACATTTAGGGCCCATTCCTCTGTGGCTGTGCATTATGAAGAGTATTAGTATTACCTCAACACTTAAAAATCCCAGGAAACATGAGTAACGTCCGTACACCTCTGTACTTTTATGCTTCCAGGGTGCTGTGATTATTTCAGGTACAGTAAGAAAAGCAGGAGTCAGAAACTTAGACCTGGAGTGTTAAGATTTGTCTTATGTTTTCCCTAATTAGTAGTAGATGAGTGGCAAATACAGTTCCTATGATCCAAAGAACAGAAATAATGTTACAGTGGATGAATAAGTAGTAATTTGGAGCGATACGTAGTAATTCGGAACATGTACCTTTCTAGAATACTGTCTGCCAAGGAGCTGTAATCACATGATTTTGGAGTAAAAAATTAGTCTCTGAGCATTTGGGGACACTATGAAGAGCTAATGAACTTACGTCTCAAAAGCCCTGCCTTACCTGTCGGTGCAAAAGTAGACCTTCCCACTCCTGTGAACATCGAAAAAACCCAAAAATTTACTTTTATTGTGCAGTTATTTATATTGCTTCAAAATAGGCTGCTTCTAGCTATGCAATCTTGATTTCAGGTATGTTTATGACAAGAGTATTAACTTTTATTTTCAATTCGGACATGCCTAGTGCACACCTGGATGTGCTTCTAGCTCCTCTTAACTGGTTGCCTTTCTTATCTTGGGAATGGCTTGTAACCAGATGCTGACTAAAGTGGTCCAGAACTACTTTGTTCTCACCGTTTTCATACTCAGTGCTTGCTGCTACCAATCTTGGTATTTTGGCCAGGACATCCTTTTATTCCTTGATCACGCAGACCAGACTAAATACAAGGAGCCTCTGCACGCACATATTTCACCTCTAGTCTCATTTCCAAGATCTACTATGAAGTTTCTTGCATTTATGGCCAACAGGAAAATCCAAAGAGATTTTTAAGGGTGCATAACGTTTTAATTTTTATTTTTTTTTACCTGAACAGATGACGCTGACATCCTCGTTGTGTTCACAGTTATGTGTGCCCCAGCCGGCGTGCTGACAGTCCCAAAGGTAAGATTCGGTTCCTTTACACTTCACGTCATCCAGCTGGATGTCTCCACTGCCAGGGCCAAAGTAAGACCATCCCAAGACCGTAACAACTTCACCACAGCCAAGTTGTCTGCATACAACACTGCCACTGACCAGACTGAAGAAATCATCACAGACTGTGCCCCATTTGCCTTCATGGTAAACTTCAACCCTCCCGGAGCACTGGTCCCCTCCAGATACCAGTCGCAGCTGTGGATCTTCTGAAACTAAAGCAGAAATTAACTGGTAAACAGAATCACAGAATCACAGAATCACAGAATCACAGAATGGTAGGGGTTGGAAGGGACCTCTGTGGGTCATCTAGTCCAACCCTCCTGCCGAAGCAGGGTCACCTACAGCAGGCTGAATAAGACCTTGTCCAGAAGGGTCTTGAATATCTCCAGAGAAGGAGACTCCACAACCTCCCTGGGCAGCCTGGGCCAGGGCTCCATCACCCTCAGAGTGAAGAAGTTCTTCCTCATGTTCAGCTGGAAAAACATCTCAATTTGTTTATTCCTGGGATATCTAAAATTCTTACGTCTAAGCTTGCATCCCCATGTGTGAATGAATGGGCTGTCCCATCTTTCTGTGTCCCCATACCCGGGGCTTACTGGGGAACACTTGCAGCGCGCACAGCAGTACAGGGCAGGTTGCTGAGCAGCGGAGCCCGAATCGGCATGGTTAATCCAGCCCTGCCCAGATGGCTCTGCTGCGTACAGGACCTGATCTATCACCGTAGGTGATCGTCAGCTGTGCTGGTGCGATAACCAGCTCACCCAGAGCTGGCTCGTGTAGCTCTGCAGCTGTGCCAGGTATGTTCTCACTCAGGACCATGTCTCAACTTCTTACCTTTGGGTCTAAATTTCTCTGTTATCCAATCTGAAAATTTTTTCCATAGTGAGTTTTCAAGTTCCTGTGAGTTCCACAAGCTACCACGTGCTGTGGCAGATAAGAAAGAATATTAGCATTGATGTAACATATCACAGTTATAGATATAGTTTATATTTAGCTATGTGTTGATAGAGTTAGATGCAGTAAGTGTTGGTACATGGTGTATTTTCAAAGCAATTCTGCAGTTCCTCCCTGTACCTGGAATGACACGTTCATTCCCTCATAGTTCAGTGGAAGAAGACTGTAGAGGACCTTATTTCATGGCAGCACAAAGAGCACAGGGATCCGACCCCAGAAATCCTCGTGTACATCCTTCCCCTCCAGTGAAGTCATGGGCTTCTGGGGGTTGAGCTCTGCCAGGTTTCCCTGGGACAGTTGAAAGGTTACTCGCCTTTGCCATATGTGGTTGCCACGATAGCAGGGGAGGCTGTGGACCATTGGTCTGTGCTAACTATGACAGTTGTTTTGGCTGACAGCCCAGCGCCTTAGCTTAAACCACTCTCTTTGCAAATGCCTGCTCAGGTCTGCATGGGAAGCCTGACTTTGTCTAACTCTGCAGTGAAGAATACGCTATATACTGCTGACAGTACTTAAAAATGTTTGATTAGACCAGACCATGGCATCATGGTTCAGATACCAGCGGATGAAATGGTCTTCCAAACCAGAATACAAGCCTGTGGTCTGATCGTGTGGTTTTGATAATCTCCAGTTTTAGTCACATAAATACCTTTGAAAACCAACTTATATTCAGTGAAAGAAAAAAGGATTTAGGCAGTCAAAGGTAAAAGCAATGTTTTCAAATGGTAGCTTTTAAAAATAATATCCTTGCTATTTCAGAATTAGCATGCTCTGAAGAGCTGTGCTGGTTTCAATCACTAAAATCAGGAGAAATTTCATTTGGAGATTCTTTTTCTTTTTTTCAAATTGGTATTTGATCTTCAGACACTCACTTTAACAGACTTTTACTGTAGGGATACTAAAGTCTTTTGTTTCCAAGACAGGATCCTTAGTGATTTTTCCATTCAAAGTTAATCCATTCTATACAAGGTCAAATCAAAGACAAAAGTGAACCTATTGAATCAGAACAAAGACTATAGGGTTGCTGGGGTTCTGGGATTTGACCAGCTTCTTGAAACGCAGCTTAGTCCTCTTCGATGCTGGACTTCCCTCTGGTCTGCCTTTGTTCTTGTCTTATAAATAACTCGATACAGCCAACATTTTAATCTACACTCTATGAAATTATCTCTTTTTATAAGGGATGGACAAGTCTTTATTCATGGTGCCCATGCTGATAATAGAAGATCAAAGTGTCTCATTCAAGCTAGCAAGATTATAAGGAGGGTTTGAGGTTACTGTTGTTTAAAGTTTGAAGGAATATGTCACTGCAGTAAGGTATATTTTCGCCTGGGTCTGGCAGGCTGCTCTGTGTTTCTTTTTCTCTCTTTCGCTTCCCTGAACTATTCCCCTCACAGAAGAGATACAAAGAAAATATTCTTCAGCCTTTTTCAGCCTACAACCTTCACAGGTTATATTTTGAAATGTAACCTATGACTTTGATATGAATCTTTGAATTAGAGGACAAATTAAACCATTAATTTTATCGTACATATCTTGTTAGCAGCTGCAAGCATGAAAAAATTTTAGACACAGTACCTGCTTCAAATAGAAGAGTAGGACTTAACAGAAGCAGCCAGGTGAGTCTCACTTGAAGGTTCATTTTCATTGCGGTTGTCTGTCCTAACCCAATGCAGTTTCAGAATTTATACTGAAGGAGTTCTGGTCTACACCAAAGATGTGTGCTCTGAAATTTGATCTTTCTTCCTCAGCTTCCAGATCAATGCCAAGGAAGTGATTTACTGAATATTTTCATTTCACAGGGTATATCCAGACATCCGGATAAGTAGATCCAGATCTCAGTGCTGTTCCGGACTGGCTACCGAGACCTTCCCAAACACTCCCCAGGCACCTTTGTGGCCATGTGATGATGATGTGCTTGTTCCAGGAAGCAGTGGTTTACTTTTGGAGATGAGGTTGTACCACCAGTTAAGTCAGTTTCCAATTTAGAACCATACTAAATCAGATTAAAATCGTATGAGAATAGTGCCAAAAGAAGGTTAGCATCCTACAATGTCAGGGAAGTCTCAACCAAATTCTCTCTGTCTGCTACAGATTACTCCTCTAAGAAGCAGTTTCTATGCTTCTTCATATTTCTCTGACTCCTCTTTAACCTGGGACTAGGTTCCTCCAGTATGTTTCAGATCTGCAGTTACTTTATCTCACTTGCAGCCTACAGACCAATATAACGGCTGTAAGAGAAGTTGGCCGTGGTATGGTTGGGTAAGAAGAACTGGTCTGGGGGTAAATAAGTAGGGCTATACTATAGCAGCCAAGGAAATGGAGCGAGATGGGGCCAGGGGGTGCTAAATTAAGCTGAAACTGTGCAAGTCATGGAACCTGTATGTAAAAGCAGAGGGGCAAGACCAGTTGTCTTTCCTGGCAGCAGTTAAGCTATTTTATACAAATATTTTTCACTTCTGAGTGAAAAAGAAATTTTAGAAACAGTCCAAAACTCCAATTGAAATCTCATTAAGACTTTATTCTCCAAACAATGACAAACAAACTTATCTTGTGATTTGACCCAGATCTAAGTGCTCTGGATTTTAAGGTTTGGATCTGAATAATGTCACACAGAAGGCACAGCTGTCTGATACGCATGTGTCATTGCAGTGCATTTCAGATCCCTCTTACAATGAACCTATTTCTTCTTTGGCTGCTGCTGGACTTTCAACAATATTCTCTCTAGGAAATGTAGAGTCCTGTAGAAATAGCTGATGTGTCAGTCTGGTGACTCAGCCAAACAGCGTGCTCAGCAGTAAAGCTGCTTGTCCAAGAAATCTATGCAGATGGAGCATGGGTGTTAATGGAAACTGGGGACATAACTCACATTACCTAGTGCAGACATCTAATCTGTTTATAAACTAAGCTCTTAATCAGTGGCATTTCAGTGCACCTCTATTTGGGGCCTCAGTATAGGGGTAGGAAAATATGAGGAACATGGCTCAATGAAAATACCTGGACTATGAAGAAGCATCAATATTTGCATTTTCACCATTCCTCAGTCTCTTTTATAAAACAGGTCCCAGAGAACCCGTTAGTCCCTGTGGACATGCAGAGGGCTGAGGACTCCACTGCCCTACTCTTACCTCTTGAGGCTGGGTCTCACCTTAGGCTATTTCACACCACATCGAAGAAGTAATGGTGGTAGGTACAAATGCTAGCAGGGGCAGAAGGTTTGTACAGCTAATCTGTAGTGATAGATGGCAAAGAACGACCGGCCACCATGTTAAACATTGCAGCTTCCGTCAAGGACATTGAAGGTGCCATCAGAAAGGAGGTGATAAATCTTCAGTCCAGAGCTAAGCAAGCAAACTAATCCCGTGTGGCAGGAACCAGCTGTGATGACAGTAGGGCTGACCTTTGTGGCCTTGCAATAGCAAAGCTGTTTCCCAGAACATCTCCTTAAAGAAATCTATCGAAATTTGCTTGTAGAAAACAAAGTGTTTGTCTGTAGTGAAACATGTTTTGTATTGTGAAATACAACATATGAATATTGGGGAAGTAGCATACATAAAGTCAGGGGTATGTAGTCAGGGGTACGTGTATGCATACACAGCAGTATGTATGTTTGTATATGTGACGTATTCTCCATACGACACCTTCTGCTAAAGGGCAAGTCCTCCACGAAGTCACACTGCTCTGCAGCTCTGACCGGGCAACTTCTCCAGCATTTGCAAACAAAAGTAAGCTCACCAAAGGCATTTCATCATCTGATTTTCTTGGAAAATTAGTGTTATAATTCCCATAAGGATGTGGGTCTAACACAGTTTAAGGGCTAAAAGCAACGGGAAAGCTGCTGTTCTGGAGGCTCTTGCCACTGGAGGGCAGCGAGGCACTGTCCTTGGGGAGCGAGCGCGTCCCCGTGAGGTGGTCTGGCAACGCCGTGCTTTGGGAGGTCCATAAAGAGGCCTCCACTTCAACAAATACCTTTAAAAGTAAGCAGAGGTGAAAATAGACGTGAGAAAAAGAGACAGCTACAAACAGCAGGACAGTTGTTTCCATTCCTCACCTGTCTCCTGCCGAGGCTGGAGGATCCGTCTCTGCCCAAACGGAGATCAGGAGAAACTCTGGCCCACCTCAGGCATCCATCTAATTTCATCTTCCCTTGCAGCTCTTCACTGGTTGTCACTTAAAGAGGTTATAAGCCATGATACCTGATAGCTCGCATATCTAATATTTGTAAAGGATTTCACTGAAGTATCTTTGAAGGAGTAAACTAGGGCTGACTGCCTTTCTCTCTACATGTATTACTTGTACAAATATTTATTTGTATTTCATCTTCACTGAAAAAAAGAAATGACTGATATGTGTGAACTCGCAAAATGGTGCACTTTTCCCCATGCTATAGTAAGGCATTTGTTATTTTTTTAAATATACTTACTGCACTTTTGAGAAGACTTTTTATGCAAAAAATCCTGGTTTTTGATAAACCCATCACGTTCCCAACAGTCTGGTAATGGCCATGTCTAGTGCCCTACCGTAGCGAAGGTGTCTGCAGTGCCAGACAGAAACAGCCCTGGCAACTCTCAGCTGGTGGGGCTGAGGGACCAGCATGCCGAAACCTGGATCCCCACGCAAGTTGACTCATCTGACCCTTCAGAGCTGACCTGGGGAGACATGGGAAATAGTCCTCTTAGGTCATGAAATACCTTTGGTAAGGACCTGCTTAGCTGTTTAAAAAATAGCGTCTTCTGAAGCATGATGAAAAATGATCTATTTAAATAGAAAGACAAGCCAAAACATTGATTTCAGAAGAAATCTCATGCTTTGTTTCACCAGTTTTACCTTTTGTTTTGAAAAGCAAAGAAGAACCAACTTCAACCTCT